AACGTTTTTAATTTGGATGAAGTCCAGTTTGTCTTTTGTTGTCTGTGCCTTTGGTGTCTTATCCCGGAAGTTATTGTCAAATTCAACATCATGGAAACTTTTCCCTAGGTTTTCTTCTAAGAATTTTATACTTTTATTCTTATATTTAGGTCTTAGATCCATTTGAATTAATGTTCATTGATAGTGTAAGTCAAAAGTCCAACTTCATCATTTTGCATGTGGGTATCTGATTTTCCCAGAACCATTTGTTGAAAAGACTGTCCTTTCCTCATCGAATGGTCCTGGCACCTTTGTTGAAAATCAGCCAACCATTATATATGAAGGTTTATTTCTGCACTCTTTATTCGAGTCCATTAGTCTCTATGGGTGTCCTTCTGCCATTTCACATTACCTTTATCACTGTAGCTTGGTAGTAGGTTTTGAAATCAGGAAATGTGAGTCCTCCAATTTTGTTCTTCTTTTTCAAGATTTTTTGTGTGTGTGTATGTGTGGCTATTTGGGGTCCTGTGAGAATATATATAAATTTTAGAAAGATTTTATCGATTTCTGCAACAATGCTGGAGGGAATCTGTGAGGGATTGCGTTGAATCTGTAGATTGCTTTGGGGATTATCATCATGTGAACAGTATTAAATGTTCCAAACCATGAACACAGGGTGCTTTTCTTATTTATATCTTCTTTATATTCTTACAGCAGTATTTGCAATTTTTAGTGTATGAGTCTTTTGCCTCCTTAGTTGAATATATTCCTAATTATGATTCTTGATGCTATTTTGAATGGCGTTTTCTTAATCCCCTTCTCAGATTTTTTTGTATAGAGTGTATACTGAGTATATAAAATCAGTATACAACTGATTTTAGTGTGTCGATCTTCCATCCTGCAACTTTAATGCATTTATTTGTTAGCTAGAAATTGAGGGCATGTCTTAGTAATCTTTAGCGTTTTCTGTAGATAAGATCATTTCATCTGTGAACAGAGATCGTATTAGTTGCTTTCTGATTTGGGTGCCTTTTATTTCTTTTTCTTGCTCTATTGCTCTAGCTAGAACTTCCAATGCAATGTTGAGTAGAAGATGCAAAAGCCAGCATCCTCACCTTGTTTTTGATCTTAGGTAAGAGCTTTCCATCTTTCACCATTAAATACGATGTTAGCTTTGGGTTTGAGACATTTTATTAAGAGACCAGAGTTACTCTGATCTTCTTAGTGTGTCTAACTATAGTTTTCCTATCCCAAAGGAACCTACTCAACAGGGCTTTTGGGCTATATATTTTTCTGGCTGAGAAGCAATCTCACTTGGTAAATACTTTCAAAGGTCATATTTAGGTAATAAAATTGGCATGTTTATGTGGTATTTTTGGCACTCCAAAACCCATTAAATTTGAAGCTTCAGGGGGAAGGTAACGTGTTTCCACGTGTTGAACACATCCCAGAGTTCTGGAGGCATATGAGGCCGGGCAAGCAGCAGGTGAGGAGTGAGCTGGAAGGAGTGTGGGAAACAGTGGCAGAAGGAGGTGTGGGGCAATAGTTTAGTATGGGTGCAGAGAGGGTCCTTGAGCGGCCAGGAAGGCCCATTCTCTGCGGCAGGAAGAGGGAGCCAGGAGGCTGTGAACCCTCCCCCAGGCCTTCAGATGTGGGTGGAAGGGAGAAAAACAGCGTCCCAGGAAAGTGAGGCTGCAGGCTGAAGAGGTGGAAGATGTGTTTGCAGGAGGGCCCGGGGCTGGGAGGCTGTCCACGCAGACTCATCAGACCCATGCGGGCTTTGGGGAGGCCCACAGGAGACAGCACAGCGTGGTCCTGGGAGCTGGCCGTGGTTGGTTGGGGTGTATACGTCAGAGTTCTCCAGAGAAACCGAAACATGTGTGTGTCTGTACAGAGATTTATCTTAAGGAATTGGCTCATGTGACTGTAGGGGCTGACAAGTCTGAAGTCCATGGGGCAGGCTGGCAGTCCGGGAACTCAGGCAGGAGTTTGCTACAGTCTTGAGGCCAAATCCCTTCTTGGGGAAACCTCAGTCTTTGCTCTTATGCCTTCCACACATTGCACGAGGCCCACGCCCATTATGGAGGGTGATCACCTTTACTCAAGTCCAGTGATTGCAGATGTTACCCATGCCTACAGAGTACTTTTATCTATCTGTCTATCTATCTATGATTTATTTATTTAAGAGGGAGAGCGAGAGTGCACGCGCATGCGTAGTGGGGAGGGGCAGAGGGCGAGAGAGTCTCAAGCAGACTCCATGCTCAACATGGAGCCCGACGCAGGGTTCGATCTCACCACCCTAAGATCGGGACCTGAGCCGAAACCAAGAGTTGGACGCTTAACCAACTGAGCCACACAGGTGCCCCCACGGAGTGCTTTTAGAACAGCCTCTAGGTTGGTGCTGGACACATGAGACTCGCCACCATGGGGGCCAGGTTTGCAGGGCTGGGGGCTGCTGGCCTGGCCGGAGCCTGGAGGGAGGTGACACGCCATAGCTGTGCCCATGCGGGGAGTGGGGTGCTCCCGCCATCTTGTTAGCCCAGCAGCCTCTTAGGGATTGTTCTTTGGTTTCTGCCCAGTTGGCTTAAAGGATCCCACACACTCACAGGAAACATAGGGGGTTGGTAGTAAACGTTACAGGTTTAGGGCACTTCTGTTCCTTTTCGCTGAAATGACAATTTAGTAGTGTTTTTATATCTTGGGTCTAATTTAGTTTTCGAGGCCCACCAGAACAGAATAGTACTGACTGGGTGGCTCAAACAGCAGAAATTTATTTTTTCATGGCTCTGGAGGCCAGAGTCTGAGCTCGAGCTGTGGGCAGGGCTGTTCCTTCCGAGGCATCTCTTCATGGGGTGTGGATGCCTGTCTCCTCCCCGTGTCTTCTTCCCACGGTCTGTGTCCCGATCTCCTCTTACAGCAGATCAGGGCCCACGCTAATGCCTCATGGGAACCTTATCACCTCTTTCAAGACCCCCCACCTCCAAATTCAGCCACATTGTGCATCCTGGGTGTTAGGGCTTCAACTTCTGAATTTTGAGGAGGACCCCGTTCAGCCCATAACTGGGCCTTACCTTGATTTCTTTGCTACTTCAGTCGATAGAATGAATATCCTGACTTTTATGCACCCATCTGATTTTAGGTTTCCCCTGGGAAGCTTCTGTGAGTCTTTGATTTCTGAATTCTTAAAACCTCAGACTGTGTCTGGAGGGAGCTTCTCTGCTGCAGGTGCGCGGGAGGTGAGGCATGGGGCTCCGCTGGGGACAGTGTAGGAGAGGTGGGTGGTCCTGCTGGCAGCCTCCGGACATGGTGGGGCGGCTGTCCTGGAGTCATTTTGTTTTCTTCCCGCTCTAACCGGGTGGCACGGATGACCCGCAGAGTCCCCTTCGTGAAACCTGCCCTGTTTGGATCCAGATGCCAAGAGCCCGGTGAAGCGGGGGCCTGACAGGCAGGCAGCGTCCACACTGGGCGTGGGTGCTGGGGCACAGGGAATGCACAGTTTACGTGGGGGGAGCGAGACCGGGAAGGTGCATTTACAGTTCTGTGTGGCAGATGGAAAAACGGATGTAAGCCCAGCGTGAGGCCCAGGAGCCCAGAAGGGACACTGACGGAGCCATCTCGGAGCAGTGGTGATTGGTGAGAGGCAGTCTGAGAGGACTTCCTGGAGGAGGTGATCCCTGAGCTCAGTCCTACAGGGTATAGTAAGTTAGCTGGTGGCTCAAGAAAGCCTCCCGTGGCCCAGAATTAGCAATCATTCAGGGTGTCTGGGCCACCAAGGGACCAAGGGTCCAGGGTGTGCACCTCTGGGATTGATTATGATGGGGAGCGTTCATATGCTGCCATTCCTGAACACGTTTTCATGTCTGATGATTTCTGAAGGAGAAGACATACTGCCTCTGTTCCTGGAATCCACGCCCTGCTCTCTGATTACTCCTGAGATTTAGAAAGAAAGATGTATCTCAGAGAAGCTCGCTTCGTGGAAGTTTGGCAGAGCATTTTTTGTGTTCAAAGGCAAAGGGATGACCCATCCCCAGTCCAGGCCAAGCCGCTGGTCGCCCCTCACCCCAGCCTCAGAAGGGAGGGGCCTTTGTCAGACTCAGCTGGGAAACTCGGCTGCTCTGTATGCTGCAGGCCCGTGGTTTGTGCCACAGTAGATTAAAAAAGAAAAAGACGGACGCCTGGGTGGCTCAGTTGGTGAAGCGTCTGCCTTCGGCTCGGGTCATGATCTCGCGGTCCTGGGATCGAGCCCCGCATCGGGCTCCCTGCTCTGCGGGAAGCCTGCTTCTCCCTCTGCCTCTGCCTGATGCTCTGCCTACTTGTGCTCTCTCTCTCTCTGTCAAATAAATAAAATCTTGAAAAAAAAAAAAGAAAAAGACAGGATCTCTGTTTCGCGCATATTAGGAGCTCACTGTAAGAGACAGTGTGCTGTTAGTGAAGCTGCTGGTATTCGCAGCTTACTTAGAGGTCCGGAAAGTTTCCTGTATGTTCAGAAGTCCGTTTCTGTGAATGTTATTCTCAGAGGCTGTGGTCACAGAACCGTGGCCTGCAGGAAGAGTGTGGAGCTGACCGGGGGCCCTTAGATGCTCCTGATGGTGGTCGATCTTGCCTGTGGCCGGGACACCCAGCATGCACACAGCCACCTTGGTGCCTCATTGGAATTGGGCTAAATCCATAATTGCCAAAGTAAGATAAAGTCTTCAGGGGTTCAGTATTTGTAACGAGGAAAGAGCCCAGGGGTCCCTGGGAGCTCCTGGGAAGGCGTGCGGTCAGAACCATGGGCCAGCACCCCCTTCACCCCTCAGGCCCTGGGACCACGTGGATGGCTCCCCACGGCTCTGTAGCTGGCACTAGGCTCCTTCTGTTAGAAGGTAAGTGGATACCCCCATTAGTAGACATCCCAGCCGAGCACCTGACCACCCGAGGGGTGTCTAAGGGCTACCCCCTCAGCCGCATTGCTCTCGAACAAGTTGTGAGGAGTTCATTTTTTCTCCAGTCCAGCTTCTCACGGTCTGTCTTTGTTGTAGGCGCTGCAGATCCGTCAATGTAACTGGAAGAAGGAGCCAATGGCTTTAGCTGGCTGCCCAGATTCCTTCTTGCACCATCCGTACTACCAGGTATGAGGGAGCGTGGATGGCTGCTGCCCGCACGTGGTGGTGGCCCAGGTCACGGCACAAATGTAGTTAGTGACCATGACCCACTCCGTGCCTGGCAGTGTCTGTGCGAGGGCCTCTGGCATGTCCCACGGAGGATCACGCGTGGCTCCCACAGTTGTCCTCGCTTTGTACTGGGAGACCTTATCACGTGTTCTCTATGTTCATGGCATCCTCCCTTCGAGAAGATTGTCCTTGTGGTGCAGCGTTTTCTCTGACGCGCAGGAGGGGGTGTTTGGAAGGCTCAGGCGCCGTGGGGTCGTCTGCTGGGCCCCAGAGCTCCGGGTGGCGAGTGGCCGTGGCGGCTTCGGGGATGTTCATGCGGAGACACAGCATCCGGAGCTAGAAGTGGGGAGAGGGAGGTCTCTGAGCCCAGGCGCATGCAGCCTGCCTTTTGGAGATGGAGTCCTCCCCGAAAGACTGGCTCTTTTTCCCCTCCACCCACTAGCATCAGGTGGGGTTTGGTGAAGGACATGTTCAGACCCATCCATCCAGGTTCTCGAGCTCCTCTCTGCGGGCCGCTCGGGTGGGTTTGCCCTGTACGCTTCCTTCATCTTCTGAACCACGTTTGTGTTTGAACTTTTACTTGACAGTGTGGAGGGATGCTTCTGAAGGAATGCACAAGCAAGGCTTGGTCCTTTTTTTTTTTTTTTTTTTAAGACAGAGAGAGAGAGAGAGAGCACAGCAGGGGAGGGGTGGAGGGACAAGCAGGGGGGCTCCATTCCAGGACCCCAGGATCATGACCTGAGCTGAAGGCAGAGGCTTAACCGACGGAGCCCCCAGGCGCCCCAAGCTTGTCCATCTTTATCAGTCTCTCAACACTTCAAGTCCTGGTACCATCTCTCATTCAGCCTCCGTCTCTCCCCAGCAGGGCTCCCAAGGTTTGGAGGTCCTTCCGTACGCTCTACCCTTGCTCTGATACTGTTTTTCCCTCCCTTTATCTGTAAAGCCTCTCTGGCAATAGTGATGAGAATTTGCTTATGCACCACGGCTGCGGAGAGATTTTCCTTTTTAATTTTTTTTGGTGTCGAAGTGACGTGAACCTTCGGAGAGAGGCTGAAGGCTAGGAATACTGTTTGTTGTAGCTGCTGAATTTGAGACGAGACTGAAGCCGGTCACAAGCCAGAAAAGAGAGCCAGCACCCTAGCCGAACTGCGGAGCATGCTGGGGACAAGTGGGTCTTTTCAGTGAGTGGGCTCTGTGCGAGGCCCTCGACCTTCTGCAAGGTTCATTTTTTTTTTTTAAAGGACTTCTGTTTTTATTTATTTATTTATTTATTTTATTTATTTATTCATGAGAGACAGAGAGAGAGAGAGAGAGGCAGAGGGAGAAGCAGGCTCCCGAGGAGCAGGGAGACCGATGTAGGACTCAATCCCAGGACCCTGGGATCATGACCTGAGCCAAAGGCAGACGCTTAACCATCTGAGCCACCCAGGCGCCCTGCAGGGTTCATTTCTTGTTCTTAAAGGGCCTCACCCCGTTGATTAAGCTCTGTGCTGCATTCATGGCTCGTTCTCCTGTGGTCACTTAGCTTTGACCAGTTGTCTGGGCCCAGACTGTGCCCATCATCTGTCTTGCTGCCCTTCACTTCACACCATCACTCCCAAATGGAGGGGATGGATCAGTGCACCATACGGGAAGCTGTCTCCGCGGACTCCCCCGGGGACAGTTTGAAGGTTCCCTGCGCTGAAAGTTGGTGGAGAATGGTCCTCTCCAGCTGGTTACAGAGCGGACCTTGAGGGCCAGACCTGATGGAGGGAAGGGTGAGGGCACCGAGTCCCTCTTGCCATCCCCCCCACCCCTGTCTTCAGTTTCCCACCGGGCCATACAGAGATGGCAGAAGCACCAGGTAGAGGTCACGCCTCACTCCCCAGACGGACGCGCTGGCTGTTTGTCTTTGCTGACTCAGCTGTCCGAGCCAGTTGTCCGGCATGGTAGGCAGCCCCCGCAAGCCTCTGTCACCCCTGGAGGAAATGCTCAGTCATGCTGTTTGGTGGCTTTTGATGGGACAGTCTTCCTGCCATAAAAATCCAGCAGCCAGACTTGGCAGTTCACATCCGCTGTTCCTGGAAAATCAGATGACAGTTCCAGAATTTCTCAGAAAATGGGATGATTTACAGTGAATTCTGGCCTTGAGCAATCCGCAATTATAGCAATTAGAGAAATCTCCCAAGTTTTTATAGAGAAGAATTTCTGAAGATCGTCAACGTACGAACGGTTTTCTAATTCTAGCTGTTCACTCCGAGCTGGGGCGTGGATTAGTTACCGGGTTCGGTCAATGGGTTGCTGAGATGTAGAGCTGTTTATAGACACAGAAGCACCCCAATTAGCATGCGCGTTAAATTATCCTGCTTTCCGCTGTAGGGACCGGGCCAGCGGATGGGCGTGACGGGGCCCCGGGGCTAGTGGGATAGGGGCAAACAGCTTCACTTTTAAGATGTAGGTTTCTCCTTTAAAATACGATATTGTTATAGTTCTGTGACCTTGTGTGTGGGGGGGGATCTTGTAATATTCTTGTGCCTCAGTTTCCCTGCTGGTAAGAGAGGGTTAGTGGTGTCCAGGTTGTGTGGGGATCGGAGCAAAAACACAGAAATCGCCTGGCACGGGGGTGGCCGCATCTTGGACACCCAGCCCAGGGTACTGACGTTTCATTCCTTGGTCATCAACTGTGCCCGACACAGTGTCAGAGCTAGGAAGACAGCTTTGTATGAGGCAGGCAGATTCCCGGGGCTCATGGGTCCTAGTAGGGGAGGTGGACATGGGACAGCAGGCAAATAAGATGATTGTGAGTGAGAATACGAGGCGAACAAAACAGGCCAGGGGGAGAGAGGTCAGGGAGGCCTCCCTGGAGGAAGTGCCCAGAGCCAGGGTGGAGCCCAGGCTGGACTGGGCAGGGCGCTCTCCACAGATGACAGAGGAGGAAAAGCCTAGCCTGGGGAGGCCGGGGCGGAGGTGAGACTTTGGTCAAGTAGGAATGGGGGATGCAGCCCATCGTCTGTGATTTTAAAACCCCAAAAACTCCAGACTGAGAGGTATTCTCATTTCTCATGTCACAGCCGACCCCGACTCGACTCATCCAGAGCTGTGCCCTTTAGGGGCATAATGGCTCCATTACCAGGCCTCCCTGGCCCCTGCATTCTCTCTCTCAAATCTGAAAAGTCCTGAATTCCCATCTCCATCTAGGCTGCAGGGTTTCAAGGAAGGGATTACGCACCTGTTATGAGGTACATTTTATTTATTGACTATAAATGAAAGCAACACTATCCTTAAGAAAAAAGCAAAAAAAAATAGGAAGCGTGATAGGTTCAGGTAAAACCTGTGAACAGAACGTTGAACGGTGCTTTGGCAGCGAAATGCTCGAAGGTAAACATGATGGAGGTTATCAAGCTCACCATTGAATTTCCAGGTATTTATTCTGAGTATCGAGCTTTACTTTTACAATTTTTATTCGTGATTTCTGAGTCAAAGGCACGTATGTTTATGGGATGCCTGGGTGGCTCAGTCGGTTGGGCGTCTGCCTTCGGCTCAAGTCATGATCCCAGGATCCTGGGATCGCGTCCCGTGTCGGGCTCCCTGCTCAGCGGGTAGCCTGCTTCCCCTTGCCCACCTGCAGCTCCCTCTGCTTGTGTGCTCTCCTGCTCTCTTTCGTTCAAATAAATAAATACAATCTTTAAAAACAAAACAGAACAAAAAAACCATATAGGCTTGTCTTCGAAGTCAGCATCTGAGAGAGTGTCCCTGTGACCCCCGTGCTTAAGGTGGAGGTCGGAGCAGCCTCCTGCTCGCTTCCCCTTACCTGCCACCATCCCTCTGTAGAGCAAATTCCTACAGTCTGGCCCAGGCCCCTGTTGCTGCGTGTTGCTCCTTTGGCTCCATTTCAGTCCCGGAGCCGGAGCCTTTGGGCAGAGCTCAGGCTCTGGCAGGCGACAGCCGTGGGCCCGTCCGGCCCCCTGCCTGCTTTTCTAAATGAAGGTTTACGGGACCAGGGCCATGCTCATTTGTTGACATCTCCGCAGTGGCTGATTTTGGGCTCAGCAGCCGAGTGGAGTGGTGTCTGGCCCTTTGCAGAAGAAGTTTGTCAACTGCTGTTTTAGGTCGCTGACTTCTCCAGTGAGTGCTGTGGGCCTCCTCGTGTCTGCTGGCTCGTCTACTCGTGGTTGGGGCCACGGCGACAAGATCAGAGCCCGAGCATGGGACCTCGCCTGCCGAGCACGTACGGCTGGGGATGTTCTGCAGGGTCTGCGGGTGTCTGTGGACAACAGCTGGGGCCTGCATCTTCTGGCAGTGTCTGGAGCACCTGGGGGATGACATCATTCCTGTTGTCTTGACTTGGGATCGGTCCCCAGAAATGAATTCCGTTCCCAAAGCCCATCTTTATCTTTTCAGCCAGACAGGGATCCTGTAGCTTCTTCATTTTTATTCTTATGCGTCCATATCTTGGCAAAAGGACATTTGTATCGGACTCCATTTTCTTCTAGAAATTTGTAGCTGGTGACTTCGGCTCCTTATGGCTCTCACAGTCGAGTTGGAAGGATGCAAGGATGCAGAGATCATTTGTCCCATCCCTTGTATTTATTCCATGAGAGCGTCCCAGCTGATAGGATGTCTCCCTAGAAGTGGTTTTGCAAATCATTTTAAGTTTCGGTTCTGAATTTCGTAACAACCGCTCTTTTACAGAGGTGTTTTGTGAAGTAGAGGAGGGAATTTGTACATGTGTAATGTACCATACGCTAAATAAATTCCGTGTCCACTTCTTCTCTTCACAACATCACTGTGAGAATTAGACGTCACTTAGAGTCCTCGGCACCGTGCTCGGCGCATCGAAGGCCCGCAGGAAATGAGCCATCGCTTTGATGTGATGACGTGAGCTGCTGTCTGATTTCTTAAAGAGTGTGGATCTCATCTCCAGAAGTCGAATTATTAGGTGGTTTTGGGATACCTAGGTAAATTTGAGACTGCAGTCT